ACTGAAATGAGAAACAAGCAATCCAACCTTTATAAAAAGGTCCCTGTTTAGGCACCAATGTAACGGAATGAAATAACATGCCGTTATAACCAGGATTCAACAAAAATACAAGGTATTAAACAACACTTGGAATAAGATTTTAGCACTTACCAAAAACACAGTTTAATATTTTTTTTTGTTGAACCCTGGATGTAGCAGCATGTTATTTTAGTACGGCACAATGCTCGTCTTGTTTGGTTTCTGGAATCAAACAACCTCCTCTCGTCCATCCAACATAGTTTTCATTGACAGCTCTCCACTGTGGACCACCTGATTCAACTTGAAATATCGATCAGGAAAGCCTTCCTCAAGAGGGAGCATCTTTTATCGATCTTTTTTTTTTCATCTTGAGAAGACTTATGATACTACATGAAAGTTTAGCATAATACAGAATGCTATCACTGAACAACTTCCTCCTACAGTTGCAAACAATATCTATGTTGATGATTTTCAGATTCCCTGTCAGTCAGTGAATAAAAAGTTTATTGAGTTGCAGCTTCAGACTGCTCTCGCTTACTTGAGCCAATGGTTTCCTCTTTTTGTCATCTACAACCGTGCATCTCTGCTGCCAGTGGGGATAGCACTCTGATCCACAGTTCTGTCTGGGTGGTTCCATCACTTCCGTTGTGGCTGAAACAAAGTTCTTGGAACTTCTCTTTTACTTTAAATTGGAATTTATTCCACATATTAAACAGTTTCATATGTAATGTACAAGGGCACTAAACGTCCTCTGCATCCTCTCTTTCACTCCTTGGAGATAGATATTTCATGCTGAAGATATATTTAACCTTTATTCGCTCAAAGCTGAATAAAAATCCATGGTCTATGGTTCAACCAGGGACTCTACCTTTAAAATGTTGGATCCTGTACATCATCAAGGGCTTCAGCTCTGAATAGGGCTTTCCACAATTCTATGGTTCAGAGTTTGCACACTAAGTCCCATAAACCTCCATTTCACCTCAGACATCTGCAAATTTCATAACAATACCTTACAAAGCTTTGATCCTTACCACAGCATTTCTCCCAGATGGCTTTGTGTCTTTATGCCACGGTGGGCTGTGCTTTTTAGAAATAGATGGTCTGCCATTCCTACATTCGACCTTCATATCAAGGATCCCATCCAATCACTGATTGTTATCATCCCCACTTGTGACTTTACTTTGAGTCATCTGATTGGAAGTACCATCTTCTCTTTGCTGAACGTCTTTTGAAACATTCATTTGTTTCCATTTTTACAGATGGTTCGAAGTTTGATGACTCTGTACGCTCCACCATGGTTTTCTGTGACTTGAAGGTTACAGGATCCACTCTAGAGATTCTCTGCTCATTGCTGGAGTTGTATGAAAGTTCACTTGCCTTGGATCATATAGAAGCTAAGAAGTGTTCTAACTGTACAGTCTATATTGATTTGCTTAGCTCTTTGATGGCTCTGGAATCGCTCAATGTTAGTTCTTACCAAGTTCTTTTGGATATACAGAAACGAATGGTTCACTTCTCTTTATCGTCAAATTATTTTAAGTTTTTCTGGATTCCTGGCCACGTTGATATTCATGGGAATAAGCTTGCTGGCATGACATCTAACTCTGTCTGCTCTGGTGTTGTCACAGCCCTTCCCTTCCCTTATGTAGACATCAGACCTGTCATCAAGGCAACTCCGTAACAAGCTTTTCTAAAGGAAGCATACTGTTGTTGTTTGACCATCTAGTTTCCATAAGAATCGGAGAGAAGAAGTTGTCTTGTCTAGGCTACCCATTGGCCACAGTTTCATTAATCATCGTTTTCTTTTACAAGTAACTGGTCCGCCAATATGTGGCCTCTGTGACACTCACAGTTGTTCACATTTTACCTCCATGCAGTCGCTACAAATGCCAACAGCGGCACTCTTTTAGACATGTTTTTTTTCTCAGGGCTTACCTTTGATGTTAAATAGTGTCATTGGCGATGGTGTCACTGTCCAAATTAATCGCATTTATAGATTTTTACAGGCCATAGGCCTTTTTAATTCTATCTAATTTTTTAACCTCGGTTAAAAAACACATTTTGGTTTATTTTATTTTCTTTGCAATGTTTCGTATTTGAGGTTTATTTATTTTTTTATTTTCTTACCTTATTACTAGACTGTTTAGCGCAGATATCCCTGGTGTTTTGCGCCATTAATCCAAACCAGTACCATAATATTTATTAAATTTCAAAGAGCTAAGTATTTTAAAGAACTTAAAAGCTTTAAGTTCATTTTTAGATATTTCACACTTTCCTTTTTTCCATTGCCCCCAGTGGCACAGCGGTATGTCTACGGACTCACGACGATATAATCCGGGTTTCGATACATGTGGTGGGCAGAGCACAGATAGCCCTTGTGTTTCTTTGTGCTTAATTACAAACAAACAACCATTTTTCCAGCATAAAATTAAAAACTGGCAAAAATAATAATTTCCAGATAATATTATTGTAATATTATCAGAATTGCTTTTCCATAAAGTTTTTTGACTGTTAAAACATATATAACAAATTCAGAAAAATTTTCAAAATCCAATTTTTAAGAAATTAAAATTTTGTGAAATTTTCTGTCAATTTCAGATATATTAAAACTAGATATAAATAAAACTATTTAATTCATCCAAAATAAAGAATAAAAATATAATTAGACAAACTTTTTTCATATTGAATTTCAATTCAATTTTTCAAACCAAAATGGGCCGGTATAGCCAGGTGGTTAGGGCGCTCGACTCGAATCCCCGTCCCACCAAACATGCTCGCCCTTTCAGCTGTGGGAGCGTTATAACATGACGGTCAATGCCACTATTCGTTGGTAAAAGAGTAGCCCAAGAGTTGGGTGGTGATGACTAACTGCCTTCCTTCTAGTCTTACACTGTTAAATTAGAGATGGCTTTGCGTGTAGCTTTGCGCGAAATTAAAAACAAACAAACAATCAAATGAAAAAAGTTGCGCAATTTTTTAGTTTAATTATGGATTTTTCAAAACTAGCAATTATTTCTTGAGAAAACGTATAGCTCAACACTCATAAACCTAATTTGGCGTTTTGAATATTTACTGTTATTTCTTAAATAAAATTACACACTAAATCTAAAAACTGTGTGAATGTTTTATTAATTAAATAGTAATCAATTAGATGATTAATATGTAAATAATATGCACAATAAAATTAATGTGCAACTGATAATTAATATTCATATGTTTAATATTTGATTAATTTTTATTAATTAAAGGTTAATTAATTAGATGATTAATATGCAGGTAATAATCACATTTAATATCAAAGTATTTTTTCATAATTAATATGCAAGTTCTTATGTAAGTGGATGCTTTTCCAAGAAATAAGGACGATTTATTCTGTCAAATCTTAGAAATCCTGTTATTTTTTACTAACCTATCCAACTTAATGTTAATAATAATTTACCAAGTCTTATTACTATAAATAAGTCAGAGTGGTATAGATTATGTGAATATTTTTGTTTTGTTGATTCATACGTAAATCAAATAGTACAAAATGAATCAAAAATGGTATTTAGTATTATCAATGAAAGTCTTAAAACATTTTATTTGAAGTTTATGCTGAACATATTTCTCCTCTCACACAAAAGCTTAGAAAAGAGAACTGTGAAGCATGTAATTTTCATGATCCCAATCAAAATCGTCATATATGTGTTATATTAGACCATGATGAAGGTATCTGGTTATATTTGAGGAGTGCTCTGGCTGAGGTTGATAAAGCTATTATACCAGTTGTATTTCAAGATAGTAAGCTAAATTTACATGAATTTACTCACATGAATCTCTGGGGTCCAGTTGTTTGTTTGAATTTCACACAAAGCTACACCAGGACTATCTGCGCTAGCTTTCCCTAATTTAGCAGTGTAAGACTAGAGAGAAGGCAGCTAGTCATCACCACCTACCCCAACTTTTGGGCTACTCTTTTTACTAACGAATAGTGGGATTGACCGTCACATAATAACGCCCGGAAAGAACTTGTTTTGCAATAAAATATCCGAATGTAGACGGCTAATCATGTCAACAGTTTGACTACTGTGTGTATTTATGTGTCGGTCTTTGCCTCTAACATTAACGTCAAGATCATCAAAACTACCCACCATGTCCTTACCCACATAAATGATGTCAAATGACTTCCCTTAGCTTTTCCACTCAGTATAGTTTCTATGTACGACTTATAGGTATTAAGATTGTGAGATGAAGAAATTAGTTTGTCATTCAGGTGTACGTCAACTTCAGAAAACAGAGAATGAAGAAACAGGATGGCAGGTGCAGACTTATCTTCATATTTTTTATGTCAGTTCCATCATGTTTGATTGTTCCAGATCTAAATATTCATCTCCAGACTCTGATATAGAAAATTCGATGGGTTTTTTTTTGTCAGTCACTAAAGATAGAGGATAATAATTTGTCCACTGATCCTCCTCAACCATGGTTTGTGTGAGAGGGAAAGAAAATACGTCTAGCTCAGACTTTGTACACTGACAGGACATTTCAAGAGGTAGGAGGGTCGATGTTCTTTGTTTCTTGGTTTTTAGCAATTCTAAACATGGGTCCTTTCTTTTTCTTCTTTTTATTAACATATGTTTAACATCTCGAGCCAAGTTCTGAGCTCTTTGTATTGCTTGTCATTTTCCAGTATCAATAAGAGATTTTCCTTGTATGTCATCTGATGCTAAATTTCAACCAGACTGAACAGCTTGTTTTCCTAAGGTTAATGTCCCTTTCTCCAGGAAAGGTATAACTGAATGAAACAGGTTGTTCGATACATCTGCTAATCTGTGACTTTGTTGCCATTGACTATCAGCAAAATAAGGTAAATAGTTTTCCACTTCGTAATCGTAATATGCTTCATATACAGCTGGTTCATGATAGTAATGTAAGGTACTCTCATAATGACTCTCCCTTGTTCAAATGGAATAGGTCGATCCATGTCATCCTTTATATTGATCTCAATAACCTGAAAACTGTTTAGAAATGGGTCTGTAATGAGGATCTGTAAATATTTCAGTGATCATGTCTCCATCATGACCTTTAACTTGAACAATTCGTAATAGTGGTACATGTGTACCACCAACAATACTAGGTTCCACAGTATCTGAGTAAACATAAATTGAATATAATCCACTGTGCCTGTTAACAGTATATAGAGCTATAATGAGCTTTGATATGATACCACTAATATTAAATCCAAATAGTACCAGTAATACAGGATAAAATATTATAGAGGCTTCATCATACACGTTTGCACTTACTTTTTTGGATGAATGAATCAAAAGAAAACATAGGTTCTTTGTTGAGTGTATAATGTGATTCTACTATTTTGTTTAAGATTCTAATTAAAACATCGGACTCTCTGTAATGTCCTGGTCTAATATAAATGATTTTGTTGGGAGCTTGATTGCCAGATAGGTAGGAGATCCATCCTATGCCATTAGGTACATTATGCCAGACATGTGGATACTGTAGTTTGGCCATGTCCATTTCCCATGAACCATCGAGGTCGATAGATCTCGGAAGACGAGTGACATTGTTTGTCAGATTATCGTTGGCAAAATATTTCATAGAACTATGACTGAGTACCGTCAAATTCAGTTGATCCATGCCACATAACAAATGATAGTGTATGGTTATCATTTTATGATGACAGGGGATTCAGATCTGTTTGACGGATCCAGCTATTAAATTTATCAGGATATCCTTTCCATTGTACGAAATACTGTTTGTGTTTATCAATTCCTCGTTCATATAATATGTTCTCCACAGCATAAACGCCATGAGGGGACATAATAACATATTGTAAACCTGATTCGTAAAATGTTCCAATTACTTTTTGTTCGATATAGTCTTGCAGTTTATACGCTAAAGGATTTTTCTTTAATCTTTTGTAAATCGTAAAGATTTTGTCTGTCCATCCAGACATCTAACCTTTCTTAAATTGACACTTTACTAATTCGAAAATTTACCTTTAATATTATTTTGTAAAGTGTTTTCCACAACACATAGTGATTAGTGTGATTAACATCCATTGGACTCATTTTAATACTTCGATGATAAGATTGATTATAGACACTGACCAGATTTTTCAATACAGGTAAATTCCACAATGAGTAAAATAGTGCCACATTCGAGTTTTCATAGTGTGGTTAAATCTTTCTACTGGAGATGCTGTTGTTTCATTATGCGAAGTAAAGAAGTGAATGCCTTGTTCGATAGGATAACATTCAAACAGGTGATTTGTAAGTTCTGTTTGAGCATCAGTTTAAAGTTTAAAGGGTTTTTTATCCTGTTTTAAAATATGTTTGAAAGCCTTTTACAAGTGTCGTACCCTTCCTACTGTTACA